GGTTCTTCGTTAAATGTCCATCTGAGTTCTCATTTCACATCATTGTTGATCCAGTGATGATCTAACTGGTCATGCCAAACATATTGAACCTCTGGTTTAATATAATATTTATTTTTATTGTACCACACATTTTAGAAACATAGCATGTTTCTCTTTAATTTAGTAAAGAATACTATCAATAATAAAATTTTATTCTCCTACATTAAGCAATATTGATTTTTCTATAATATCAAAACAATATTCTTTTGGAATATTGATATATACCTAGTTATGATTATTTACAAATAATAAAACAATATTATTTAAGAATATCGATATATTTAAATTAATCATAACATTCTTCAAAAATATAAATATGTATAAATTTGTGCTTCTTCAGGAACACAATACAATATTTTTCAAGAATACTAATATATATTATTTTTGCTTCTTCTTGAGCAATATATCAATTTTTTTTTTTGTTTTTGGAATATTGGAATCGTAGTGTCATGCTATTCATGAGCAATAACAAATCATTATTTAAAATAATAAATTGTATATGAATTTACTCTTCGGGAGTAAAAACATAATTTTTAATTATGCTTTTCGGGAGCAAGCAAAATATAATTAGGACATAAATAATAGTGTGCTACTTCAGGAGTAACAATAAATTATTATTTAAAAAACATTAATTCTTTAAGAGTATATTTTCTAAGATAATATAATATGTACAGAGTTGTGCTTCTTCAGGAACCACATATCAATATTCTAATGAAAAAATATAATTTATACTCTTCAGGAGCAAGTAATATTTTTCAGGAATACTAATTATAATGTTGTACTATTTTAGGAGCAATAACAAACTATTTATAATGAATAGATCTACGATTAATAGTCTTCTGGAATATATTAATTATAATGTTGTGCTAATTCAGGAGTAACAATATAATAAGTTATTAATTTAAAATTTATAGAAAAATATCTAAAAATATTTGATCAGATTAAAGACATAAAAATATTTATGCTCTTCAGGAGCAAGTAATATTTTTCAAAAATATTAAATATAATATTGTGCTATTTCAGGAGCAAAAACATCATAAATAAACCACACGAGATGAATTAATTTTACCAAACACATATAATTAAAAGAAAAATTGACTGCGGAATCGCTACCATAAATATAGCAGAATTTCATATATAAAAAAAATTATTGAATATAATCATTACAAAAATTCTACTTCTTCAATAATTATTAATTAATTATGCTAAGAAGTGTAACTAATGTAGCACACATAATTACATGACATGCATATAGAATTACGAAATTATGAATGATGTGAATTAAAGAAAACGTAATGATTGTATGTCCTTACTCCTCGGATGATGTGAATTGTAAAATCAAAATCTTTTATGCCAATAATTGATTTTCTTTTCTTGGGTGCCATGATGGATGGACAGAACACAGTGGCCGCCGGCGCAAGAGAGAATTTAATGCTTTATAAAAGAAATTCACATTAGATGAACAAGAGTGATAAACATGTAATATGCATGTGCGTGTATAATTCACATATTACCAAATTATTTTTGATACACGTGATAGATGAAAAAAAAAATTAATATATTTTCTAAACTTTGAAGAATTAAGCGATCGTGCTGATAACTTGTTATAAAAAAAAAAGAATATAAGGTAACACATACAGTCCAAGTGGGAGATTGTAAGGATTTTTTAATCTAACGTGTGGGCTTATATGTGAAATATTGTGTATTAAATTAAAGGCTAACTATTTCGGTTAAGCCCATTTAAAGTGATCTAATAAGGTTTCGGTATTTTGGGCTTTGAAGCATCTAATTAAAGTATGGGCTCTTATGTGTAGAGA